CTTAGCTTTTTTTCAATCTCCATATATGCTTTGGGTTTAGGATGCATCAAGGAACCAATTGAAAATGGTGAAACAGGGCAGCTTCATGGTCCTCTGTGTGGTACATCCAATATTCTCACAACACATATCACTTCATTGAGATATAAATTTTCTGATTACTGATGATCCCATTCCTGAACACATGCCAAAAGCACTTGAGGTATCTCCAGAGGAGTTGAAATTAGTCAGAAAGAGGAACTCAAAATCCATGGCCAGACTTTCTAAAGAGAAGTATTTTGTTAAAGTCGGAAGGCTCATCCAAGTTTTCCCAGATTCCTGGTTTAGTGGTTCCAGAATCAAGCTGGAAGAAATGGCTTTGAAGCACAAAAGACGTTAGCAAATTCCAAGGCAGATTTGACTCAGCCAATCTTATTTTTTTTTCTTTCTTTTTTGACTTGTGGCATTGCAGCTTATGATGAAACTAATTTTCCAGGATCTGAAATCATAAAGAAACTTCATTTTAATCAAGGCATGTATCTAATTTTCAGATTCTTTAAATGATGGTGTTGCTTTAGCTGTGGTGGTTAACGTAGCAGTAGTACCTTGCCGGTTTACAGAGAAGGTAAAGTTGCTTCAGAAATATTCTGATAATACAAGGTACCCAAGATTCAAGATTGGTGTTCATTTTTCCAACATCGAAGATGAAGGTGCTTGGAGGCATCAAAGGGAGAATGCAAAAGAAGTTTCTGAGAAATTACCATTAGCAATTGAACTATTGAAAAACTGCGAAAAACAAATTGAAGGTCTCAAATCATTGAGACTTTTGGAACTTGGAACAATTGAGGAACCTGCTTTGACTAATCTAGAATTACCAGGCCAACAACACATCCCCAAAGAATTGGTTAAAAAAACTTTAGAACTATACAGCTTAGACCTATTGAATGACACAAAGAAACTATTTACAGATTATGAGTTCCTTCTTAAGGATGATGATTGTGAATCAGATTTTGAAAAATACAGGAAGAATGAAACAGTCCGCCATGCTTCTGACTACTATTTCAGCATACTTGATTTTTTGTTCATTAATGAATTCATCAGTAATGAAATGGTACAAACCATTTTCCAAGATGAAAAAATAGTAAATAAAGCTATTTCATCTTGCTCTTATTTGATATCAAGCTGGGCTATGAATTCAATGGAGAAGGACATGTTGCTATGGGATGGAAACCTGGACAATATTTGGATAAATTTACACCCTTTTTTCAAAGGTAAAGTCTAGAATGCATAGCTTCATTCTTTTTGCAAAAAGAAAGAATTGATGTTTTTCCTTTTTTTTTTCTGAAATGGCAAGCCTTGAGAAAAAAAGACTTTGTTATTATAAATCTTATTACCTTGGGAAGAAAATTTGATGAATATGGGATATTTTCCATCAAATCATTGGTATGGAAATATTTGAAGACAATTCCCAGAAATTCTCATACTCAAGATATGTCAAAGCAATGTGAAAAAACTCATGAATTGATTTCATTAGCCTCTCATGGAAATGGGGATGTTAAACCTGATCCAGCCTTCATTATTCCACTGGAATTTAAAGAAGAAATTAAACAACTTCTCATTTGGATAGTACTCAAACAACCTATTCATAGATTGATTAAGAATGAATATGATGGAAAAAATGTATCCATTTATATTTGGTCCCTTTTCTTATACATCAAACATCAAATCTATAATGGAATTATGAATGAATTGTAAGTAAAATCCCTTTAAAGAAAATCAAAGAGTTTTATCAAACAAATCTTCATTGAATTGACCAAAAAATTGAAGCAGACTGGAAGATGCCCCATTTCTTAAGATGAAGAATGAAGAAGAAGGACAGAAATTGTAAGTAATTTTGATGAAATGTCTTAGACATCGAATTTTTTTTCCAACTGAATCAAACCAATCTTTTCATAGTATTAAGATGAATCTGAACAATTTGGAAAATAGCACTTCAGTGAAGTCTGAAGACCTCCTGAAACTTACATTCCTTTCCTCAACATTTACCATACTAGAGCACATTGCTAAAATATATTACCAAGAAAAAAATATCTGGTGAACACTCCAACAACATTCATGTAAAGCTATCAGCTTTTGTAGGAAACTTGGATTTATTGAACAACATACTTGTTAATTTCAAAAAGACATATGCAAGAGTTTTCAGAAATCCAATAGATACCATCCGTTTACCAACCAACAAGGAGTGGGAAATCAATCAGGTTTATGAACATGGTCAAGAATATCTGAATAATTTACAGAAAAAATATCAGGATTGTGTTAAATAGAATATCAGTTTACATACACATCTACAAAGTCAAAAGAATGGAGACTGGTCAGCTATTTTCTGCTGCAAGGGGAAGTACCAACCTCATGGACATAAACATAGCTGTAGGAGCAAATGTTTTCTTGAAATCTGTACCTTCCTTTTGAGTGAAACCTTTTGCCACATATCAGGACTTATATCTTGTGATTGAGCTGTTGTCATTATTGTAGAAAGTCAGCAACCATTGTGTTCCTTGTTTGGGGATTCTAAAATCATAACCTTCAAAACCGGTTTCCTGTTGAGGTTGTTGAGTTCTACCTCTGCTGTTGGTTTCCACTTGTCCCAGTCAGGTGATTTTATTGCCTGTTTGTAGGTCTTTAGGATGTCTTCTGAGTAAAATACATTGTTTCAAATTATATTTTTGACCATCCATTCTTCCTGTCCAAAAGCCAACTTGTGAGAGAAATCCCCTGACAAAGCTAAATTACTATAGGGATGGATTGTTAGCAATGTCTTAGACCATCTCCACCCGGGGAGGTAAACTGCGGTGGTAAACCAAATTTACCCCCCCAAGCTCAAAAAACCCCTGCCACGGGGGGTGCTAAAGGGGAGGTAAATTTAGTTTCCCCCCCTCAGGTGGTATAGCCTTGTCAGATGTGCAATTGCTATACCACCCCATGTACCTCCCCAACCCAACGGTTTCACAGGTCAATCCTAGTGAAATCCGGACTCCCCCCCCCTATCAACTGCCGCTCGCATCCCCCAAAAGACATAAAAGCTGACCCAGCATGCCACTCCTTGATCTCTTTGCCATCCATCCTACTGTACCTACCCTCGTCACCACCCCCCTCAAATCATTTGCCTTTGGCGGAAGAGTAAGAGTAGGATGTTGGGATTGGAGACTTTGACCTTGGGCTCAGTTTGAGGGTCGGAGTCCATGGTGGTAGTATCTTGCAAGAAATCGAGAGTTGCCAACTTGCTTCTGTTTGCTGGATCCATGATCAAAAACACGGATGAATAAGGTTGTGATCATAGGGGGGTTGACCGGTGTGGAACTCCTATTGTGCCAGGTGGTAGGCAGTTGGTTGAAGGGATGGTGCTTTGAGGGCTGCCTTCAAGTGGGGTCTGGATGAGTTGAGCTGTGACCTGAACAAAGAGTGTTGGGGTTGGTTGGTTTTCTGAGAGGGGACAACAGAAGTTGATTTCTGTGGCAGTTGTTGAGCTTGAGGATTGGTGTGTATGAGGATCAGATGAATTAATAATAAAAAGATCAATAAGAATTGATGGGTCTTATCTATCTTGGATCAGATCAGAGTGCCATGCTTCCCCATCATCTCAGTTCAAACTGAGCTTTGACTCTGGGGAGTGACATGTCACAGACATGTCATCACATCCCTAACTACAACACAACTCAACCAAAAAACAAAAACAAGACCACACTACACAACACCATACAACACCCACAACACAACACAACACAACACAGAACAACACAGCACAACACAACACAAAACAGAACAGAACAAAAAAAATAATCAAGAGTGAAATAAACCAACATACTAAGATGTCTTAGGACCAAGAAAATTAAACAAGACTGTCTGCTGAGTAGGTGATTTGAAAAAGATAATAAAGAATGATAAAAATGATAAAATAAAAATGAAATGAAGATGAATGAACAATAATATGAAGATAAAATGATCAGATGAAGTAAAATAATAAAAGGAAACAAAACATAGCAAAACAATATAATGAAGGAAACTGTTGGACTGAGAGGGGATTTGAGGGGATATTGTTGAAATCTTGAGGCTTGAGGATATTGATAAGTTGAAATTTGAAATTTGAACTTCAACCTTGAGGGGACCTGTACAGTGGGTAGACAGTGAAAAGTGGCTGCTTATTTTGGATTCCAGAGCTCCAAAACACAAATTTGAAATCATGGGTCTTGGTCAGGTGGTGCATAATAGGTCCCAAAGAATGAATATGAAATAATAAAAGCAAAAAATAAAGTTTCAAAATTTGTGAAAAATAAAAAATAAAATTGATTTTTTTCAAAAGCTTTGATATTCATTTTGGGGGAGTGGGAGTGCTGAGAGAAAGAAAGATTGGGAAATGAGAAGAATGATTGTAAATGAAAATTTTGGAAAAACTGGTTTTCAGATGGCTTCAAACAGCTGTTGAGTGGGGCATTCACCAGGCCACGTTGCGGCAAAGCCACTAGAATTTACTGTTTTGGCTCCAATCTGGACCACCAACCTGGGTAAACCTTTTTTGGTTCCAATTTTTTTCATTTATAATCATTCTTTCCATGTTCCATTCTTTCTTTCTCTCAGCACTCCCCACTCCCCCAAAATGAATATCAAAGCTTTTGAAAAAAAAATTGAGTTTATTTCTTATTTTTCACAAATTTTCAAACTTTATTTTTTGCTTTTATTATATTATATTCATTTTTTGGGAGCTCTTATGCACCACCTGACCAAGTCTCATGACTTCAAGTTTGTGTTTCAGAGCTCTGGAATCCAAAATAAGCAGCCACTTTTCACTGTCTACCCACTGTACCATTTAGAACACCACACTGGGGGCGGCCTTTCACACGCAAGGTATTGAGCATAGCACCCTGTGGTGGAAAATATTTTTTCCCAGGGTTGCAGCTGGTAAGTTTACCAACACGGATGCCACTGCGCGGTGGAGATGGTCTACAAGTTTCAAGTTATCCAAAAGAAGATAGGTCATACAGCTTTTGCATGAGAAGATGAGTCTGATGGGGAGAAGAAAAAGTCTCCTGGGTTCAGGGTGGGATAATTAGCAAGTGACAAATCTGCAAACCTGCACAGAAAATCAAGACAAGACAGGTTATAGTTTTGATTGAGAATCGTGAGAAGAGAAAGACTGAAACAAAACAAAACAAACAAGGGGAAGCAAAGAAAGAGAGAGAGAGAAAACAAAGAAAAGAGAGAAACAGGAATCCACTTCTTTGGACTCACAGTGAGACTCTTTCACACTCACACAAACATATGCATATATGTATATACATACATACACACAAGAATATATAGTGTTATATATATATATACAAAAAAGGAAGGGGAAAAATGAAGCTATACAAAATTAAGAAGGACTGGAAGAGAACAAAAGCGAGCAACAGAGCGAGGAAAGAATGAGTATGTATATAGAGAGAAGAGTGTGTAAGAGGATGTTCAAAAGAGTAAGACCTATATACTTTAACTAACTCAATATGTATATATATATGTGTGTGTGTGTAAGTGGAAGGGAAGGAGACAAATTGATGGAAAGTGAAAAAAGTAAACAAAAAAAGATAAGTGGAAGACAGAATCAGATTGACTACTTGTAGAAAGAGAGAGAGAGGGCTTGTGTGTATATCTATGTATATTTATATGTAGACAACAGGAAAGAGATATGGAAGACGATAGAGAAATTGATTGATGTTTGTATATGTTTGTAGTAATTTTTCTTTTGCTGTTAGGATAAGGAATCAAGTCTTGAGGTGTTGTTTTATAGAGGCTTATTTATATGTGTGTGTTTTTTTGTTATTGGTGTTTTTTGTGTTTTTTTAATTTTTTTGGTTTTTAATCTATATATATGTGTATATATATATTGATCATCAATTGGGTTCAAAGAAGGAAATAAATGAAAAGGAAGGAAGGGGAAAAAAAACTTATTCAATGAAAAGGGAAAGGTGAGGGGGGAAAAAAGCAAACAAATAACAAAAAGAGAGGAAGGAAAGAGGAAATGAAGGAGTGAGTGATAGGGAGGATTTCGAATATAAACTGAATGAGTGATCAAGAGAAAGAGAAAGAGATCAGAGTTCAAAGGAAAGCGAGAAGAGGAAAGACAAGAGGAGAGTGGAGTTTTCAAGGGTTGATGATTTGATCGTCCTGAGGGTTTTGGACCATAAGCCGAATTTGATCGCGTTCGTCTACGAGTTGATCAGCGGGGACGACGACGAGGTCGGGATTATTCTGAGTCTGCAAGTTACGATTAGCAGCGATGATGATCTCGGGATGGTGGTGGTGATGGTGGTGAGGATGGTGAGGATGATGGTGATGAGGATGAGGATGGTGAGGGAGGGTGTTAGGATTATCGACTGCGACATGGTTGAGCGTGTTTTCGACGCGAAGTTCGCGATCCGGCGGGGTCGCGATATTGGAAGCGGCCTCCGAGATATCCCCGCGGTCTCGGCGTCCGGCCCCTGCCGGCCCATCGCCCGTCCTTCGGAGCCGCTCAATCGCCGCATCCACTAAGGCTCGACTCGCCCGATCCACTCGCCGGCTCGGATCTTCCACTGCGCCCTCCCCTCCTTCGGCGGCCGTCCCAACACTCGCTGCTCCTGCTTCTGTTTCCCCCGTCCCCATGTTCGTCGGCGCCGCTGTACTGCTGCTCTCTCCTTCGGCTCGGGTACTACACCTGTATATCAAATCACAATCCTTTAATCAGCTTCTTGTTCTGTTGAACTCGCAAAAACAAAACAAGAAAACACAGATCATGTAGCTAACCAAAATCGATGACCATGTTGCCACGCGCGACTCTGACAGCTCTTAGAGCAATACTTCGCCTTACGACATCGTCTACATTTAGCAAATTCTCTGGGCACCGATTCCCATCTCCCACATTGCATATTAGCGCACTGCCGAATCCCACCACGGGTTTCGTCCTTACGACAAGCATTACGCATGATTACCCCGGCCCAATACTGGATCTCACCGGGGATGGTAGGACTGTGGACGTCGTGAGGGAGACGCTGATGGGTGAAGCGTTCGACGTAAGAAAACACGTTCGAGGCGAGTGGGTTGATAGTTGACGGCGACGACGACGATGATGGTGATCCTGTGGAAGATCCAACGGGGTTCGATAGCTGAGCCCGGGCGTGGTTGTACATCATCCGAGCTGGGTCTAGATCATGGGCATTAGACCCCGAGTGGGAGGCATAGTACTGATGATGAGAGCCGTGTGAGGGTGCAACCCCGGGCATGAGATTGGAGCCGGATTGTCCAAGCACAAAGCTGGGCTGTCGTAGCATCTGAGGAACCGTATTGACCATAGGCGATGTGCTGAACAGGGTTACCCCACCGAGCAGTAATGCGGGTCGCAAGGGGTCGGTCCCAGGGTCACTCGAGGGCGCTCGGTTAGCGTTAGTCAGTGATGGATCATGAGTTCCCCGGCCTAATCGGGCTTCCTCCAAGGCTTCTTCTACTTGCATCCGCGCTCGCATCATTGAAGAAGAATACGAGCGGTGAGGGTAATGAGCCTGAGAGGAAGTCCCACGAAGATCAGTGGATGAACTGACTGGATCAGCATCGGGTAGTGAGTGTTGGTCTTGTGCAGACGCAGGACGTCGGCTGGAGCCTTGGATTCCAGTACCGCTGGAAAATTCCTTGCCTCGTTCACGCTCGTATCGCTCGCTCTTGAAGCGTCCGCTGAATTTGGCCAACGCCCTTGTTGCGTCCTGCATGGATCCGTAGGTGAGTTCGAGGGTCGACCGATTGGCGGGCTCATGAAAGTATGCCCGAACGTGTGCATACTTGGACAGGTATGCCAGCAATTGAAGTGCCAACAGCACATCCTCATCTCGAAAAGCTAGAGTAACTGGCGAGCTGAGACTGGTCGATCCTACACTTGGAGGTGCCGCTCGAGCCGCAGGCGCATTGGGAGCGACCGGATCGGCCACGTTAGCAGTCGGAGCTGGTGCGGCTTCAGGAGGAGCGGGTTGACGACGAGTGGTGAAAGCGCGTGTGGGAGCGGCACCCTCGGTCTCCGATAGAACCCGTGAGAGCTGCCCAGGATCAACGGCGGTATTTTCTTGAGGAGCACCAAGGGCTGGGTCCAAAGGTGGTGAATAGTCAGTTTCTGATGCGGAATTTGAGGTTAGGGTGGCAGTTTCGGATGAGGCGGTCATGGGTACGTCTTCAGAGACTGGGTCGACCGCGCTTCCGATGGCCGATGACGATGATGGTGATGACGGATGTTGAGTTTGCGCTTGGGAGCGCCCAGGGCCGGAGTGGGGAAGACGAGCAGACGATGCGCGGGGTGTCTGATGATTGACAGCATGAATGATAGCAGATGAGTTGCCCAGTTCAGGATTGTTCTCGCTTTCATTGGCGTCAGTCTCGAGACCCTCCATGGGACTTGACTGGGATTGAGTGTTCAGTGGTAGATTCTCGTGATCCAGTTCGGTAAGAGTTGGACGGGGTGGGGCTAGAGGGGTGATGTGAACGACCTTGTGGGCATTAGCTTGACTGGCTTTGATAGTCCCCCGTCGTGAGCGCTGTCGACCATTACTGGGCCCTGCTTCGTCATCACCAACAAGTTCCATGACTACATCAGCTTCGCTCTCGTCGGCTGCAGATTGGTCGTCCATCTCGACTGAAACTCCAGCAGTGTGGGTCTGATCAGGGCTCGCACGATCAACCGTTTCATCAGACTGGTTCTCGTGGGAATCAACGTCGATGAGATCGACAGGGTGATCGAGGGTAGATGAGGAGGTGGAACCGTCGTTGCGGAGGATGGCTTGCTGGTTGAGGTGAAGACGAGAGGTTTCGAGGGAGGAGGAGGAGGAGACCGATGAGGGAGAGATGCTACCAGTCCTTAGAACAGGATCTGTGGTTGAGCTGATCGAGATAGGGTTCCTTGTGGCTGGACGGGCAGAAGTGAGGAGATTGATATCAAGATGATTTGTGCTGGGTTGTGCGGACTCGGGGCGGGGTGGTTGAGGATGGGAGCTGGTTTGGGTAGCTGTTGATTGATTGGTGGGGTTGGTGAGTGTTGAGTTCAGTGAGAGTGATGAAGATGAAGATGAAGGTGGGAGTGGAAGAGTGCTGCGTGGATTGTGATTATTGGTGGTGATGATGCTGGCAGGGAGATCTGAGATGGGAAGTTGAGAGGAGGGATTTTGAATGGGTTGGACCAGGGTCCGAGAGGAAAGGACGGGGCGAGGGGGTCGGGGTAAATCAGCGTTTAAGGAGTAAGACCTTTGAGAAGAGGAGACAAGGGTGCGAGAATGACCAGTTGAGGCAGCTTCGAGTGCGGCCTTCTTGCGGGCTCGTTCCTGGTTCTCGGACTGCTGGCGAACACGTTCCATCTCATGCAGATAACCGCCGAGGACGCTGATGATCACTGGAACGACGCCAGCCTCGACGACCCGGGTGCTGTGGAGAGGGAGGAAGAAAGGTTAGTGATTGATTGATTGTGTAGTAAGTGAGATGTAAGGGGACTACAGACCGGATGGATTCGGTACCTCTGACGCCGATGTTGACGACGCATTGGAAGGAGAGGCTCCAGGTCCATAGGAGTTGTTTTTGTTCCTTTGTCAGACCGAGGGTTGCGATCTGATGTGAGGCTAGGGGTTGGGTGGATAGGGTGGGTTGAGGGGCAAGGGGTTGGGTGGGGAATGGGGTAGGGGTAGGGGTTTGCTGATTGGTGATTGGAGGTTGTAGGGTGAGACTGGTTGGTTGGCTGGTGGGCTGAGTGATGGGTGAGTTGAGGAATGGACGGAAGGGTGAGATCCGAATGAGGTTTTGGTTTTGAGAGTGATTATTGGATGATGAGGAAGTTGCTGCTGCTGCTACTGCTGAAGATGAAGATGAAGGTGTTGGTTTTGGTTTGGATGGGATGGTGATGGGTTGAGCGAGTTCGGTTGGTTGTTGTTGCTGTTGTAGGTTTCTGCGTTGTTCTCTCATTCGCCTTCCGGTTGATCTGAGGATTGAGATGAGTCGTTCGAGACCTCCGTCTGAGCATAGGATCTCTCTGATCCTGGGTGAGGTCGATGTGAGATAGGAGAGATGGGTGAGTGTAGAGAGTAGGGGGAGTGGAGAGGTGGCATCGATGGCTGAGAGGGCAGAGATGGGTGGGTTAGTATGATATGGATTGAGTAGTGTGTTGTAGTAGTTGTGTTGACTGACCTCTTCGATCGTATAGTGCTGAGGTGATTGAGACTGAAGCCTTGTTGTGAGCTGGGAAGTAGAAGTTTGACTCTCTCATGCTGAAGATTGAATGTTGGGTTGTGGAGAGGGAAGAAAGAAGGAGTTGTATGTTAAGGAGGAGGTTGTTGTTGTTGGTTGTTGTTGGTTGGAAATGGGAAGATGAAGGAAAGAAGAGAGGAGAGCTTGAAGTTCTTTTATTTTATTTTTAGAGTTTCAGGCCGAACTGAGTAAGCCAGCGAAGGGGCTTCATGAGGATCAAAGTCTCATTCTTAACTGGACTGACGGATTACATAAGCAACCACCCCCACTGCCACTCACTCACTCACTCACTCACTTCAACCGACCAACACAAACAAACAAACGAACAAACCATTACAAAAAGCAACCATGAGAGCCATCCTCAACAACATCTTCTTCTCCATCGGACGACTAAGAACCTTCTCCCAATCAGCCATCCAACTCAAGAAGAAGAAACGATACATCCCACCCATCCCACCACTAGACGAAAACGAACTCATCGAACAATTCGTCAGAGGATCAGGCCCAGGCGGACAGGCTGTCAACAGTAAGAACAAACTGACCCACCACCCATATATCTATATATAAAAAAAAACTGACGATCTATTTATGCACACTCCCCAGAAACCAATAATGCAGTCTCACTAATACACAAACCTACCGGGATCAGGGTTCAGGCTCACACCCATCGATCAAGAGAAGCCAATCGGAATCAAGCCAGGAGGGTACTAGCAGAAAGAGTATGTACACTACTATCCAACTCATCAGCATCAATCATCTCATCATCATCTTCTTCTTCTCCTTTAGGTCGATTATAGA